TTTTTGCATCTGTGTTCATTAGGGAGATTGGCCTGTATTTCTTTTCTTTTTTTTTTTTTTTGGTTGGATCCTTCCTGATTTTCATATCAGGGTAATACTTGCTTCTAGGAATGATGTAGGCAAAGACTTTATGAACAAAACCCCAACCACATGGGCAATATTACAAAGAATCAACAACTGGGATCTCATCTTATTAAAAAGCTTTTGCACAGCAAAAGAAATCACCAACAGAGTAAAGAGACGACCAACAGAGTGGGAAAAAATTTTTTTCCAGCTGTTCCTCAGACAAAAGACTAATATCTAGAATATATAAAGAACTGAAAAAAATCAACCCCCCCTAAATTTAAAGATCCAATCTAAAAGTAAATATCTGAGATGAATACAAACTTCTCAGATGAAGAAGTACAAACAGCAAATAAATATATGAAAAAATGTTCAACATCACTGGCCATTTGAGAGGTGTAGATTAAAACAATGCTGCGATTCCATCTCATTCCAGAAAAATGGCTGTTATCAATGAATAAACCAAAAATAAATGCTGGCAGAGATGTGGGGAGAAAGGAACCCTTCTCCACTACTGGTGGGAGTGTAGACTGGTGCAATCACTGTGGAAATCAGTGTGGAGATTCCTCAATGAACTAAGACTAGAGTTGCCATTTGACCCAGTTATCCCTCTTCTCGGTATCTTCCCAAAATAATTAAAAGTATCATACTATACTGTTATATGCACACTCATGTTCAAAGCAGCACAGTTGGTAATAGCTAAATCCTGTAAACAACTCAAATGCCCATCAACAGATGAATGGATAAAGAAGATGTGTTTTGTTTTATTCAATGGAATACTACTCTGCCATAAAGAAGGATAAACTTGAGACATTAATAGCTAAGTGGATGCACCTGGAGACCATACTCTTAAGTGAAATAAACCAGAAACACATGTGTAAATTCCAAATTGTTTCTCTGGTGTGAGAAACTGAAAGTGTAAATAAGGACCAAAATGTACAATGGATATTGTGAAATAGGAACAAAATGTTCAAATGCAAAGGGGCACAAGGGAGGAGGGAGAGGGAAAGGAAGAAAGGGAAAAAAGGAGAAAAGAAAGATAAAATCAAAACAAAGGTCTTATAAATAAGAACGGGTAGAAGGGAGGGGAGGACTTGGGAAAAATATGAATCAAGATATATCATGTACAGGTACAAATTCCACACGATGAATGTGGTCATTATGTATATCTAAATTGTACCAATAAACTTAATGATAAGAAAGACCCTGTCTGAAAAAACAAACAAAAATATATTAAAAAAATGAAAACAAAATAAAACTACATAACCTTTTTCTAAGAAAATTAAGAGTGAAAGCAGCCTTCCCCTAACTCTATGTTCACTGAAAATTCTGCAGCAGTGACCAACTGAGGTTAGATCAGAGACTGAGCTGGGTAGACACAAATACCTGCTCATCTTCCTTCCTGGTCCCAGGACTGCCCTTCCTGGATGGGTGGAGACCCAAAGTGTATGTGTTACTCTTGCAGCTCTACCGGGCCCACGTTGCTTTTCCTGACTTCTTTTGTAATAGCACAACTACATGGTGGAAGAAGGAAATACAAGAGCTCTATGCAAACCCCCGAGAACCAGCAAAGAGCTTGAAGTTTGATGGATTGTGGATTGTAAGTGCACCTCAGTTGTTGATCTCTGGAAACGTTAGCAGTCAAAACATGGGGAAGCAGTTCAGAGACTTGAAAGTCCGGGAGCTGGGTCTGAAGGAAAAGGGGTGGTGCTGTCACAGAATCTAGGTGCTGGGACCAGCATCAGATTATTGTGGATCTGCCCAGGGATGTGTTGTCTGGTGAAAGCTGTAGCTCATCGAGATGTACCACTGCTGGAAATGCCAGAGCACAGGGGAGATAGAAGGGTTCTCTGGCATCTTTTACCCCCAATACTTCAATCTCTTGCCAGTGCCTCTCATTGGACAATCCTACCCAGAAGGCTGGAAGCTCATCCTGTAGTTCAAAGAGGAACTGGAAGCAGGCAAGGCATGAATCTGAGAACTAAGACATTCAGCTTAGGACTGAAACAGACTGTCCTGAGGCTTCAAATCTTGTTCAGCTGTGTGTTGTTTGTGTCAGTTGGCCCCGAGTTAGGGCTTCCTGAGATGTCCAAGGGTGGCTCTGTTATTTGTGTTTTTCTAGGGATGGGAAGCATATCCATGTCATAAACATCTTCTCTGTTATCCAGTTGCCTAAATTCTTAAACAAATTCTAGGCCTGCCATGAATACCTGCTCAGGTCTGGGCCATGCTGAAATAAGCTGGTAATTTAGAATAGTAAATTGTCCTCAAATACTTACCTTTGCCTTTGGTATGGTCTATTTAAGATAGTCCAGCCTACAAAATTATAACTTATCTATTGATAAAGTTCACAGTGAACATTCTCTTGAGGGTCCCTACTCCATATATTTAAATTTTAAATTCCTCAGTGTGTGATTTTATTGTTTCTTGAGTTATGTACAGCTTTTCTGGAATGTATCTACAGCAGAAAATAAGATATCTCACCTTGTGGTTGGTCTATGTCAATGTCAGAATTAATTCAGTCATTTGGGTTAAGAAAAGGAAGATAAGGATTATAGTGACCACCACTACAGATGCAAAGTGAATAATCCATGGATAGAAAAAAAAGACAGGGTCCTTGTGTGTGTGTGGGGGGTCGTAAATCAAAGATTTCCTTAAGCCCTGCATCAACGTTATCTTAATGTTTTTGTCGCTATGACATATTCGTCGATGTATTTTAAAAGGCCAAGGAAGCTAGAAGGGGTTTAACAGTCCACTTAAAGTGACATGGATTCTTTCAGTCATTTTGGTCAATGCCAGGCTTTAAACAGAGTACACTGTGCCACCACCTGAAGGGAGGGTTTCAGAACTGCTTGGTCAACTTCATGAAGTTAATGTTCTCCACAACTAAGAAGATACAGCTTCCAACATGATGAATCTTTTCTGTTAACTTATTTCAGGATATGAATGAGCCATCAAACTTTATGGATGGATCTGTTGAGGGCTGCCACAATGAAGTTCTCAATAACCCACCCTTTATGCCATGTATGTAAAATATTTACTTTATCAAGTTACTCCCCTGCTCAAAATCCCTTACGTTTTCCCCTTACTGTCAAAGTGAAGCCAAATTCTGGGGGCAGAACATAGTTTCAACATGACATAGAATCTCAAATAGAATAACCTTGAATTAGGACAAATTAGTAAATTACTAATCAAGTGGAAAAATGATGTAGTATGGTATGAAAAAAACAAAGTGATCCATTTGATTATATTGATAACTATAAACTGATTGCCAAAATTTAACTAATCCCCTACACACACCCACATGCACAAAGAGGTACTTTTGATTACAGAATGAAAATCCAGTCCCTGAACATTCTGCCTATGTCACAAAGACTTCAGGAATGAAATGTTTTGGCTATACTGTATTACAAACAAAAATAGGATGTTGGGATCAAAGATATCACAGAAAATGGAATCCTTTTATCTTACAGAGGGGAAAGCTCTGTGCTAGTGAACTTGTGAAACTGGATGTAGAATCTGGGTTCCTGATATGAAACCCATTGTTCATTCGTTCATTCATTCATTTTTCCTTCTTCTCTTTAAAATTTATGTGCCAGGCAATTGCTGACAAGTCAGGAAGATTTAGATAATTATACAAAATTAATGGAAGCAAGATTTATTCCCTTGAGAACAGTACCATCTGGTGGAAACAGTCCTAACAACAAAGGAGTTTGTCACATTGAGCAAAAGGCTATAACTGCACCCAATCAGTTGGAGCTGAAACAAAAAGAAGAGTGCTTTTCCCAGCCCCTAACTGATTCTGACCCTTTAGTAGTTATTAAGTCGAAAGATGTTGCTTTTGTACATAAAACAACGTAAGAAGTAGGGCCCGTATTTGATAACAAAGTTATTGATGGAAATAGAGAAATGCCAAAATGATGGTCATCTCTAGCAAACATGCAAATCCCTGGTTGGGAAATAACTCATTATTTGCTCTCAGGTTTGGCATCTAGGGACAGAGGCCTGAGCAGCAAGACCCTGTGCATGGAGAGTGAGCAGATCCTCCCAGATGGCTCCAGAGTGCGTCACTACGATGTGCACAGCCTGTATGGATGGTCCCAGACCAGGCCCACCTATGAGTGAGTGTGTCTTCATCACTTGTAGCAAAGGCAACTTACTATGTTGTTACTTTCTATTTGTACTGTGTGCCCATACCTACCCAATGCCAGAGAAATGGATGAACTTAAAAATAGCAGGCCTGGTTGCCCAACCGCAATACCTCTGAAAACATGTATCATTTAAGTCATTAAATGCACCTGTTTAAAGTGATTAATTAGGTGATGTTACAGGATATTCATACTGCTGCGCAGTCATCACTAAAATAAAAACTTAGAACATTTTCCTCACTCTCAAAGGAAAACTTTAACTCATTATCAGTCATTCCTACCCTTGTCCCCTTCTCCTGATCCCCCCACCACTAATCTACTTTTGGTCTATGTGCATTGCCTATTATTCTGTGTGTGGTCTTTTGTGACTGGCTTTTACCTTACAATGTATGGTCTTTGGTGACTAGCTTCTTTCAGTTGGTGTAGTGTTTTCAAGGTTCATTTATATTATAGCGTGTCTCAGTACTTCAGTCCTTTTTGCTAATAAATAATATTCCATTGTACAGATATATTTTGTTTATCCGTCAATTGGTGGACATTTAAGTTATTTCCACTTTTTGACTATTATAAATGAGATGCCGTGAACATTAATTGCAATATTTTGAAAGAAAATATGTTTCCTTTCTCTTGAATACATATCTAGGAGTGGAACTTGTGGATTTTATGATAACTGTATTTTTAATACGTTGAAGAAATACCAAACTGTTTTCTAAAGAGCTTTGGATTGAAAAATACCATTTTGCATTCCCACCAGCAATGTATGAGGGTCTCAGTTCCTCTGGATTCTTGCAAATTCTTGATATTGTTCATCTCTTTGGTTAAAGATGTTCTATTGGCTATGATGTATATTTGGTTGTTGTCTTGACTTCATTTTCTGAATAACTCTTGCAGTCGAGCATTTTTGCATGTGCTTTTTGGCTATTTGCTTATCATCTTGGCAGAAATGTTTATTCAAATCTTTTGCCTTTAAATTGTCTTTATTATTGAATAGCAAAAATTCCATAATAATCTAGATACAAATTTCTTGTTGGACAAATGATTTGCACATTTTTCTCTTCTTCTGTAGATGTTCTTTTCATTTTTATTATGATGTTCTTTGAAACAGATTTTTTTTTAATTTTGAGGAAATTTCAAATCTGGTTTCAATCAGTTTTTATGATTGTCTAAATACTTATTTGTCAGCATTTACCTGCCACATAAATATTAAAAGGAAGGAGAAATTGAAAGAGTTTATTCAATTATTCACTTACTTGTCATGTGTTCTGTTGGTGTCATAGCTAAGAAACTATTGCATAAATCAAAGTCATAAAATTTACTCTAATGCTTTCTTTTAAGAGCTGTATAGTCTTAGCTATTACACCAAGATCTGTAATCCATTTTGAGTTAACTTTTATCTAATTTATGATGTAAGGTAGGAGTTCAACTTCATTCTTTTGCATTTGGATAACAACTATCCTAGTTCATTGAAAAGACCTTTCTTTTGCCCATTTAATTATCTTTGTACTTTTTGAAAAATAAATCAACAATTAGTAAGAAGTATCATTTATGGACTTGTGATTGTTTTCCATTGATCTCTGTATCTATCTCTTCACATTATTATACAGTTGTAATTAATGATATATGAATCTTTACTTTTATGCAGTAGGGATTTTCATAGGGATTACATTGAATCTACAGATCAATTTGGAAGAGTAATGGCATTTTAACAATACTAAATCTTCTAATTCACTAATGAGAGATGTCTTTCCATTTATTTAGATTTTCTTCAATTTACTTCAATAGTAATTTACAGTTTTCAGTATATAAAATTTTAGCTGTTATTTCTTCACATATTTTTCTGTCCATTTCTCCTTCAGAATCCTATTGAATGTATGTGGGTACGTTTGATAGTTTTCCATAAATCTCCAAAGCCCTGTTCATTTTTCCTCTCTGTTTCTAAGACTGGTTCATCTCTATTGTTCTACCTTTAGTTTTCTGGTTCTTTTTATCTACTAACCAAATCAGATACCATGTCCAGTAACTCTAAAAATTTTAACTTCATTTGTTATATTTTCAACTCCAAAATTTCTATTTGGCCTGTTAGTAGTTTTTAATTCTTTATTAATATTTTTTATTTATTAATACAACATAATCACACTTTCCTTTAGTTTTTTAGATGTTTTTAGTTCTTTTAAGATATTTACTGTAGCTAATACAAAGTTCTTCTCTGCTAAGTCCCCTTGGAAGCATTTTCTGTGGGTCACTTTCCCTTGTGTATGTATATGGAATATATACATATATACCATTTCAATAAATTGTATGCGTATCTCCATCCTTTTGGACTTATTTTGGTGTCAAATAGTGGGAATTAACCAAATGGGTTAGTTTTTTTTTCCAATTAACTTTATTGGTACATTTTAGGTATACAATATAGTTACATTCATCATTGGGATCTTGTACCATTACATGAGTCTCTTGGTTCTTATTTATTTCGCCTTCCCTTGCCCTCCCTTCACCCTCTCCACCCTTCCCTATTTGCAAAGACCTTGTTTCCATTTTTT